TGTGCATAAAAACCTCATAAAAATTAAAACCACAAGAGCAATAGTGCAAACTAATAGGAAAATTAAATGTGGACTCTTAAACATCAGATCTCTCTCTTCTAAAGGTGTACTAGTAAATGAACTAATATCAGATTATGATATTGATCTATTTTGTCTTACTGAAACCTGGATGGGTGATGGAGAATATGCTAGCCTAAATGAACCCACCCCTCCCAGTCATATTAATACTCACATTCCTCGAGGCACAGGCCGAGGAGGTGGAGTTGCAGCAATCTTCGACTCTAGCCTACTAATCAGCTCTAAACCTAAACTAAATTATAACTCATTTGAAAGCCTTGTTCTTAGTCTTTCACACCCTAGTTGGAAATCACTGCAACCAATTCTTTTTGTTATAGTGTACCGAGCACCTGGCCCGTATTCTGAATTCTTATCTGAATTTGCAGAGTTTTTGTCAACTTTAGTCCTTAAAACGGACAACGTTATTATTGTAGGGGATTTTAATATTCATGTGGATGAGAATGACAGCTTCAGTACTGCGTTTATCTCTCTGTTAGATTCCATTGGCTTCTCTCAGTGTTCATGAACCGACTCACTGTTTTAACCACACCCTCGACCTTGTTTTGCTATATGGTATTGAAATTGAACACTTAATAGTGTTCCCACAGAATCCCTCTTTATCCGACCACTGTTTGATAACTTTTGTGTTTGTACTGCTGAACTACACGCCATTGGGCAAAAATTTCTATACAAGATGTCTGTCTGATAGTGCTATAGCTAAATTTAAGGATGCAATTCCATCAGCTCTAAATTCATTATCAAGTCACAAAGTAACGGAGGACTCCTATGCTAATTTCAGTCCCTCCCAAATTGATCATCTTGTTGATAGTGCTGCAGGCTCGCTGCGAATGACACTTGACTCTGTAGCCCCTCTAAAAAAGAAAATACTAAAACAAAGACGGTTAGCTCCATGGTATAATACTGAAACTCGCAAATTAAAGCAAATATTGCGGAAACTTTAGAGGAACTGGCGTTCCACCTAACTGGAAAATTCTCATTTAATTTGGCAAGATAGTCTTAAAACTTATAGGAAAGTCCTCCGTAATGCCAGAGCAGCGTACTACTCGTCATTAATAGAGGAAAATAGGAACAACCCCAGGTTTCTTTTCAGCACTGTAGCCAGGCTGACAGAGAGTCACAGCTCTATTGAGCCAACTATTCCCATAGCTCTTGTGGTGTCCAAACAATAATGCTGCGATGATGTGTTGAGAGGAAACCCGCTTGCCACTGTTCTTGATCATAAAAGTTTATTAAATCAAGGAGTTCAGCATCAATTACAAGCTCTGCAGCAGCTTGGAGAATGACCCAGCCCGATGGCCACTCTGTCTCTCTGTTCATCAAACATAGCTTATATAGGATATGTTTAGGTATCTGTTAGGTACCATAGAGGGGTTTGAGTCTGCAAAATAAAAGGTCAAACCCATAGAAGGGTACAGTACTATTCTGAGGTAACAAAACAAGGGGTTAGAGGTCAAATTCTATAGAAGGGTTCAGTCCCTACATAACCACCAATCACTGCTCTCCCCGTAGAAGGTCACTGACCCTCTGTCCTGCTGCTACAGTGCTATTTTGAACTTTTATGAGTCAAATGCGCAAGCACTGTACACTACACTCTCAGTAGTTACGACTTCATGAGCTTCTTTAATGATAAAATTCTAACTATTAGAAACAAAATTCACCAAGACCTGCCCTCAACTGGCACCGACTTATCTCTAAACTCAGGAACCTTAGAAACAGCTGTAGAACCAGATATATGTTTAGACTGTTGTGCCTCCCTCAATCTTTACCAACTAACTTCAATACTTTCTTCATCTAAGCCATCAACCTGCCTCTTAGACCCCATCCTGACTAGGTTGCTTAAAGATGTTTTACCCTTAGTCCGCACTTCTATACTAGATATGATCAATCTATCTCTATCAACAGGCTATGTACCACAGTACTTTAAAGTAGCTGTAATTAAACCTCTTCTGAAAAAGCCCAAACTTGATCCGGATGTGACTATAGACCTATATCTAACCTTCCATTTCTCTCTAAGGTTCTGGAGAAAGCAGTTGCTAAACAGCTGTGTGACTTTCTACAGAGCAATAGTTTATTTGAGGATTTTCAGTCAGGATTTAGAGCTCATCATAGCACAGAGACAGCACTGGTGAAAATTACTAACGACCTCCTTATTGCATTAGACAAAGGACTTGTCTCTGTACTGGTTTTATTAGATCTTAGTGCTGCATTTGATACCATTGACCATCTGGTCCTATTGCAGAGACTGGAACATTTCATTGGCATTAAAGGAACCGCTCTAAGCTGGTTTAAGTCCTATTTATCAGATCGATTTCAGTTTGTACATGTTAACGATGAGTCCTCCATGCATGCCAGAGTTAGTCATGGAGTTCCACAAGGATCTGTCCTCGGACCAATCCTCTTCACTTTATATATGCTTCCTTTAGGCAATATTATCAGGAAATATTCCATAAACTTTCATTGTTATGCAGATGATACTCAATTATATCTATCGATCAAGCCAGATGAAACTCATCAGTTAGCTAAACTTCAAATGTGCCTTCAGGATGTTAATTTTGTGTAATTTTCTAATGTTAAACTCAGATAAAACTGAAGTTATTGTTCTGGGGCCTAAGCACCTCCGTGACGCATTATCTAAAGATATAGTTTCCCTTGATGGCATTGCCCTGGCCTCCAGCACCACTGTGAGGAATCTTGGAGTTATCTTATCCTTTTTTCACCTACATAATATTGCGAAAATCAGGAACATCCTGTCTAAAAATGATGCAGAAAAACTATCCATGCATTTGTTACTTCTATTAATTCCTTATTATCAGGGTTCTCGAAAAAGTCCGTTAAGACTCTTCAGCTGATCCAGAATGCTGCAGCACGTGTTCTGACAGGAACCAGGAAAAGAGATCACATTTCTCCTGTTTTAGCTTCTTTGCATTGGCTTCCTGTAAAATCCAGAATAGAATTTAAAATCATTCTTCTTACCTACAAAGCTCTTAATGGTCAAGCACCATCTTATCTTAAAGAGCTCATAGTACCTTACTACCCCACCAGAGCACTGCGCTCCCAGAATGCAGGGTTACTTGTGGTTCCTAGAGTCTCCAAAAGTAGACTAGGAGCCAGAGCGTTCAGCTATCAAGCTCCTCTCCTGTGGAACCAGGTTCCAGTTTGGGTTCAGGTGGCAGACACCATCTCCACATTTAAGAGTAGGCTTAAGACTTTCCTCTTTGATAAAGCTTATAGTTAGGGCTGGCTCAGGTGAGTCCTGAACCATCCCTTAGTTATGCTGCTATAGGCCTAGACTGCCGGGGGATTTCCCATGATGCACTGAGCTCCTCTCTCCTCTACTTTCTCTCCCTCTGTATGCAACCTCATCCCATTATTGCATGTTTCTAACACAACTTCTCCCCTTTCCGGTAGTCTTGTGCTTTCTCGTCCCTCTCCTCTCTCCTCCTATCACTTCCTGCAGGTGTTTCTGGCTCTGGAGCTGTGGAGTCTGGATCTGTGGCTGCAGGTCACCTGCTGCCCCGTGTTCCTGCTCGACACCCTCTGCTACAACAACTATTGTTACTAGTTCTATTGTTATTATTGTTATTATAATCATTAACATTACGATTGTTATCATTAACACTATTATACATATCTATACCATTTTTCATTTAGTCTATAGCAACATCACCTTTACTGTCTGTACCTCTGTGTGTGTATATTGTGTAGGCTGCCTCCCTCCCCTCTCTCTCCTTCCATCCCTCTCTCTTTCTCTCTTGCCCTCTCTCTCTCTATCCCCAACCGGTCGAGGCAGATGGCCGCCCACCCTGAGCCATGGTTCTGCTCGAGGTTTCTGCCTCTTAAAAGGAAGTTTCTCCTTGCCTCTGTCGCCTAGTGCTTGCTCTTGGTGGGAATTGTTGGGCTTCTGTAAATAACATCATAGAGTATGGTCTAGACCTGCTCTTTTATGAAAAGCGTTGTGAGATAAATGTTGTTGTGATTTGGCGCTATATAAATAAAATTGAATTGAAATTGAATTGAATAAGGAGAGGGCTGAGGAGAGGACTGGTGTGACACCAAAATGTGTGACCTATCAGATTCTGTGATCCAAATGGGAAGTTAAGCGCCAGAGGGTTTTGTTGACGATGTGAAGTGGTTGTAGTTTTGTTAGGTTTAGGTACTAAAAGTACTTGGTTGGGTTAAGGCACCAAAAGTACTTGGTTGGGTTTAGGCACCAAAAGTACTCGGTTATGGTTAGGGAAACATCGTTGCTCGAGCTTTTCAAATATACTATTTGGTACAAATTTGGGGTTAAGGTTAGCCTAATCTTAACAGCCCCTGATCTCACCATAAAGTTGTTAGGGCTAGCCTTTTTACATTATATTAATTCACTTAGCTGATGCTTTTATCCAAAGCGATTTACAACACATGTCAGAGGTCGCACGCCTCGGGAGCAACAAGGGGTTAAGTGTTTTGCGCAGGGACACAATGGTGGATGTGTCACAGTCGGGGATTGAACCCTGGTCTCTCACACCAAGGGCATGTGTCTTATCCTTTGTGCCATCACCAAACAAATAGGTTATATTCTTACCGTTATAATAGACTATCTTGATTAGAAATCCTTGGATAATATGATTTTACAGTCTTAATCGTACTTGAGTGGTAGACCATTTAAGAAGACACATCTCAGGGGCTAAATGAATGGGTCAGTGATAAATTCAGTTATTTGCTATGACTTAGCCTATCTTTGAGAGGGAAAACAAAATTTGCTGGTTGTTCTGGCTTCTTTAAAATGTGCAATTTGATAGAAATGGGTGCGGTCATCTGAAATTAATGATAACAGCTAGTGCATCAAAATACTGTATGAGGGCGACAAGTAGTGACTGTGTCAGTATTAGTGGTCTCTTTCATGTAGGTCTCAGTCTTTATTTGATGGGGTATAGCTTTGCTTTTGAGTATGGAACTTACCTTGGCCTAATGACAAGACACTATTTAAGACATGGCTGCTTCGGCGCATCCTGCAATTTAAGAAATTCATTCATTTAAAATGATAAGGCCAACCTATTAATGATTTTAAAGTAGCCTAAACAAGAGACACAAAACAATGACCTAAAATCTGTGGCATGACTGGTAGCACTATGTTATACTCTTTTAAATTATTATTTTTTAAATTATATTTTAGTTCTGCAGTATTCTGATTGATTATTGTTCACATGGTTATGTGGTGCATAGAAGTGCACTGACTGAACACAAAAGAGTTCCCATGTAAGACTATAAGATTATTTTCTGGCTACTGCTATTGACATTGGGGAGAATGGTTTATTTTGAGAATGAAATGAGTAATTCATGGTACCCTTGCGTTGTGAAGTAATGTGGATGGTCTGGTAATGTGGATATCAGAAAGGGTAAGCAGTAAAAAATGTTTAGATCTTTTTAAATCTAGGTTAAATATAAAGAGCATATTTGAATTGCATAACAATTCGTTCTTAGTGTGATAGCCTATGTATAACAATAATAATTATAAATGTATTGTCAGATTTAAAATCATATTGACCCTCTATGACCTGGATGAATTGCTTTATTGCCTACAGGACGAATTTTTATGCAGTTGCATTGGTTGTAGGCTATACCTTCGTAGTTCATCATTAAACACTAAGTTATTAGTTCATAAGAGATAGATAGATAGATTTGAGGATAGCAGGAAGGAGGAAAGACTGATGTAGGTGGACCATAGCAGCCTTCTCTGTTCCAGCCGAACATTTTTTAAAGTGACACACAACAATCGCAACTGTACTGTGCGGTAGGGGGGACATTTTAATGGCCAGCCAACCAAGTTAAAACCTTTTTTTGTCCACGGTCGGTGTTTGTGTATGGCAGATATTAATAGGAGCATCGACTGCAACAAGCTAACGCTCACTGTTTAGTCGTAGCTCGCGACAGACGTTATTGTGTCGCAGCTAACGTGTAGTTAGCTAGAATGCTAACATGACGTTCAACCCATCAGCCGGGTTACCAGACGACCGAAAATCCATTTACAGTCAGTCACAAAATAGCGTTTACAAAACTGGCGATAAAACAAGCCCCATTAGCGTCATACTGGTTAGCTCTGGCAGCCGGGGGAACAAACTACTTTTTCGATACCCTTTCCAAAGAGTGGCTGAATGTCCGTCATCTCTTACAGGTAGGCGTAGCATTAAGTTCGCATCCAAAAGAGCGTCACTGTTCCTCATCTAACGCTAGCGTTAGTTCTTCTTTATTCGGTTAAACCCCTGACTTCCAAGTTCTCACTTTCAAATAATTACTACATTTATGATTCGATTCAATCCAATGCAGCAGTCCAGCAATAAAAAGATTACAGATGTAATGCTTACAATAATAAGATTGCTACTGTAATCTCTTAATTTACTCCACACTTTTAGGTTAAAAGTAAATGTGGCGTTTCTTTAAGGTAAATTATGTGTTGTTAAGGCCCACTTGTGCGCACTGTTCCTCTTTCTGAGAATCCGGTTTCCGGTTTTGTCGTTGTGATTTTTGGAGCTTAGTATGATGTAACTGTAAAACCCCAGTAATCAAGGCTGTCACACCAGCTGAATACAAACTAGCAGTATGTCTAAGGTCTGACTTTTATAACTTTATATAAGTTAGAGTTCACTGCTACATAAGGCAACCTGCAGGTACATCTAATATGGCAAGAATAGGTTAAACAATTAATGCGAAACACTGGAAAACTGCCTTGGCAAAGCGCAACAATGACAAGTAGACAACAACAAATTATAGCTTCATACACATAGCAACAGACCAATAAGATTACATAACACCTCTCTGACACGTTTGACATTCAGATTGTTATATGAACATGTTGTTTGTTGTGGGTTCTAATGGGGCTTAATCTTAACCCATATGTTTTTTTTAATAATTGGCTTCATCATCAGTTATACTAACTAATACTATTATTTCTGTCCACAAGCAAAACAACGAAGTCCATATGCACTGAACACAACTGGGGATGGCCTTGAAGATCAGGATGGTGATTCAAGGTATTGCCTTCAGTTAATATTACTTCATTTATAAATGACTGGGGAAATGACTGTTGATGCACACAGAGCCCATTCTAAAATCTGCATGTGCTACTCACTCTCAATAGGTTATTCCTCCCTAGTGCGTTGGACTTTTTTTATTAAAAAAAAACCTCATTGTATTTTTCAGGTGGAATTGAGGAGCTGGGCCGTATATTTAATTTAACCCATGTGGTTGAGCTTTATTAAACTCCTCAAAATTAACTTAACTTGCTGTACAGTTGGTGCTTCAAGGCTTAAAGGCTCTATTCTCAGCTGCTGTTTGAATATGCTGGCTTATCTGAACTAATAAGAAAAACAAGTCTATACACCTCCACAAATGACTTTATTTTTTTGTTAGCTCCACTTGTACTGAGAAAACGCGGCAGGGATTGTTTCTGCATGCTTTACATAAACAAGGTCATACAATTTGTTGTTAAACCTCATCTGACTTTTTCTAAACCTAACATGAATGTTAGGACAAGAAACTGTCAATCATAGAAGATGGTAAGATGACACAGGGATTGGTAGATACTAAAATTATGATGGCAGTGGCATTGCTGCATCATTTCATGGTTTTAAGCAAAGAAATTAAAGAAGAGAGGATGACTTCTTCATCAATTGAGTTGAAGGAGAAAGAGGGAAACTGTAAATGGATGCAGCAGATCTGACAAAAGTTATGTTGAGTCGTGTTCAGATCAGTCCACAATCAACAAACCATGTGTGAAAATGTGTTTTGTCAGTAAAGTATATTGAACTAAGGTTTATCTGTTTATGGTATAAACTGTGCTGGTGGTGAGATTATTATAGATATTGAATAACCTGCTCTATAATATAGAAACAATAGACAGTATAAAATTAACAAGCAGTGTAAGAATTTCACAAAACAATTTACCAAAACAAAAATGAGCAAGTAAAAATTGAGATATCATTTTATAGTTGAATATGTCCTGCAGTGTGTTGAGTTTAAATTCTGGGTGGTGATCAAGCAGTGGAAAAGACACTTTCTTCTGGCGTGGGAGAACCGGGTTTCGATTCCCACTGCGACATCTACCATCCCTGAGCAAGACACTTAACCCCTAGTTGTTCCAGAGGCGTGCGACCTCTGACATATATAGCAATTGTATGTCACTTTGGATAAAAGTGTCAGCGAAATGACTAATAATTAAAAATTAAAAGAAGAAATACAAATGCAGATATAGTGGAACACCTATCTTTGTCCTCTTGAGCCGTTCGCAATGAGTGTTTGAGCTGTCGCTACTGACGTGTGGCAGAAGTTGTACGAAACATGAACAGAATTGGCAAACCACTTGAACCCCACCCTGTTTGCACACTCAAAGATGACCCTAAATAAATGGCAGTTGGTGAACCTTTCAGTCTTGTCCGCAGTTTTCCAACAGCATTTAGTTTTCATCATGCTGCTGCATCAGTCGTTGGTTGTTTGAAAATGCTTTGGTAACAGGACTGTAAGAAGCAGCCACAAGTGATCATTTAAATTATTTTAGCAATTCAGCACATCGGGTGTAATCACAATAAACTGGCAAAAGTTCATGGAATCGTTTATTTAGTTTTTCTTTGGCTCAGTTTTCCCCTACTCCATTTCAAACAAGCCTTTGTAGTATGTACTCCAGTTTTGTCCGTTTTTAAAAATGACCTTTGAGAGAGTTTATACTGGGTTATTGAACTGTTTACAACACAACAGAGCCTTATAAATTTCACTTTTAAAGTCAATTGTATTGTATAGTTATAATAAATGTTATATGGCCTGTGATTTTTGTCTTGGTTAAGAACCTGGCAGCAGCATTTTGTCATGCAGAAGTCATGCAGTGACAGCTTTATAAAGACCAGTATAAAGTAGTTTGCAGTATTTAAATGGCTTGTTATGACTGCAAAAACTAGTTTCACTGTATCTTTTTGAGTAATGTTAACATTTTAGATGCCTTTATGACAATTTGAATATTTAAGTTCTTATAACTGTTTTAAGATAGATCTTTTTAAACATTAATGACACCGAGGTGTAGAGTAAACTGGTGAATTGCTTGAATCAACATGCAGACCAGCATTTTTTCACATCACAGTATCATATATTTGTTCGGGTTGTTTTGATGTCCATTTTATGCATTCAGCCCAACTGTGTGTTGCATTTTCCCTTTTGTTTGCTTTTTTTTCTTCTGTTTTATGGCCCAATTCCCATTTCAGAGAACAATCTCCACTAACTGACGAACAGTTGGTAGCAGGGTAAGACCAAATCATTCTAAACCACCTTTCCTTCGCTTAGATCACCCCTCTCTTTTTTTATCCCCTTCTTTCCTGTTTTGTGTCCTATATGGATCCCCAACCCTAATCTCAGTAAAAATCCTTGTTAATTATCAGTAGCAGATCCAGTGAATCAATGCTTTAGTTTATTCAGGATTTCAGTGTTGCTTGCCTCCGTACTGTATGCCCTTTTGAAGAAAAAAAAATCATCCAACAGTTTAAGACTATAATTAGAGTTTTAATTCACAATGATTGATAGACTCAGCATTACAAAACAAATGCAAACTACAATAAAGAAACTACTACACATTATTTTCAAATTGTGTTGGCGGGGTAAGTCTATAGTGTTTTCTGGAAGTTAACGCCTTGATTTTTATCCCTTTGATTGCAGCATGAGTTACTTAAGACAATCCAGCATGAGTCTTTCACATTCTTCATTCATACAGCGACTTCACTGTTTCTGCAAGGATGCCTCTTCCTCTATTCTCCTCTCCAGTAGCCACACACGCTTTTTTTATTTACACTCTTATTGTTGAAGTACATTACAGGCAGATGCATCTGATAAATGCAACAATTCTCATAGACAGGAATGTGAAAAATCTAAAAGAAGCTAATTTAAACATTCCCAGCTGTGTCCCAGCTGCGTCTGTGCTGTACCCTCTCATCCCACCCCGCACACCTTTGTCATTATGACTGTTCTTCCTTTTTTAAAGGTTCTCTGACATCATCCTCGCCACCATCCTAGCCACCAAATCTGATATTTGTGGAAAGAAGTTTGAACTGAAGATAGACAATGTTCGATTTGTGGGTCACCCTACTCTCCTTCAACATCCTCCCATCATTCAGGTAAGGGACACAATGGCAGATAGCTATTTATCACTGTTAAGAAACGAAAAACTGTTTGATATATTGGCTAAAGAATTACTATTTTTTAATAGTTTTAAATAGTCGGTATGGTCATTTGCGATGTGTATTTTGCAGTAGCTGTTATTATAAAAAGTTTCAATCACAAGCATCTAACCTGTGATTTATAATATCAATTAAAAGGTGAACAGTGCCATCTTGAATTCTTGAAATTGATGTGTCTTGCCATCTTGCATTGATGAGGCTATAAGGTCATTTGTTATTTCACCATGGCCCTCTAAAGTCATGTAAGCTCTGCACTTTTGCAGATTAGTTTTAACTTCTGCAGCGCCCCCTACTGACTGAGTTGTTTTTTGTCTGGTGATTTACGGCCTGTGTTTCCTAGATGAAGTATTTTACAGGGGATGGTGACAATGACAAGATCATGTAAAAAAAACAAAACACTGCAATTCAATAACGTACTCTATTATAAGCTAAAAATAACAGGAACAATGTACATTATACTGTAATGCAAAACACCTACTGTACATGATTTGGCCATAGAGCTCAGTCAGTACTCCTCTGATTCTCTGATACTGTCTCAATAAAAACTGAAAATGTGACCAAAAAGTAGATTTATTGCAGAGCTTGTGTAACATTGTGCTTGTGCAGCTTTTGTTGTGTTATATTTTTGAATTCAACTGCTTTTTAAATTAAGTATTGATATAGTTTTATATATAATATTTGTAAATGCCTTGTTTACTTTATGCATCTTATAAAGAAACTTTCTTTTTCTGATTTCTTCCTGTGCAGGTTTCTAAGACAGATCCTTCACCTAAGAGAGAAATGCCTACGATGATATTGTTTAATGTGGTGTTTGCACTAAGGGTATGAAAAGACTTTTAAATTATAATTGTTTTCATTTTTGCTCTACCATTTGAACTAAGATTTGTATGTATGGTAATATTAACATTATAAATGAACTTTAAAAGTTTATTTTAAACGATGGCACTAATAAGTCAAATGGGTGGGACACGTAAATTGTGTGTTAATCTGTTTATTCTGTGAATGGGAGGGGTGTTTGTGAGTGATAATATTCCAGTATACTCTATCTGAGAGAACATTGGAACTCAGAGGGAGTAATTATGCTTAATCATGCCAAGCAATCAAGCCTAACATGGCACAGGCTGTTCCTCCCCATGCTGAGTCACGGTACCCACTCCCAGTATAGCTGAGATGGCGCAAGAAGTGCTCAGTCATCTTTCTTAATGGCATCTGCCCAGCAACTGCCATATTTGTACCCTCAAAATTTCCTAAGAATAACAGTCCCAGTAGGCTATTTTAATATGGCAGTGTGTATTCACAATGGGCATAATTTCAAGATTTACTAGTAAAATTTTACATTTTATTAAATCCAAAATTCCAATTTGTACACCAGAATTTTTTTAAATATTATTTTACATGTTCATTCATACAGATTAGCTTTTTTTGTTGTATCGAAATCTACTTTACATGAAAATTACGGCAACCGATTTACTTTCCAATGCGAAGATTATGTTGGTCAGTAACCACCTATTTTATATATGGAAGTCACATCATTTATATACCTGAGGAGAACAGAACATTACACACCTCTCAGTATAATGCAGTGCAACGCTACCGTAAATGCCGGAGGCCAAACGTTTTTTAACACAGTCTCAATAAAACCTGAACAACTAGCCTTACAGATATTCAATGTATTACATTAATAAATTTGTAAATGTAATGGATGGCATCACAAGTGAAAATTACAGGTGAAACTAATCAACTGTTAATTCTGGCAATTGATTTTGGCTGAAAATGTTAAAAAAAAAGACAAATAAATATATACTTATATATATATTTAGCATGAGTGTAATTTGAATCATGTGTTACCTTCATATCTTTGAAAGTTGCATTTGTTTTTAAGTGTGTCACATGGTAAGATCTTTACATCACATAAGGGAGCTCTGAAGTAATTTAAAGCACATATATGTTTGATGTGTTAACAGTAAACGGGCTGGTAATGTTTGATAAGAATATTAACTGAGCTACAAATTAAAGCACTGATGTTATAAATGCAATGCAATATGTAATTATTGAGTTGTATAAGTAATACTAACATGTTTCTGTCAAAATCACACTGTTTAAAAAGTGTGTCCCTCTCTCCATCTTTGGGCTCTACAGGCTAATGCTGACCCGTCTGTCATCAGCTGCATGCACAACTTGTCGCGCCGCATCGCAATAGCCCTGCAGCACGAGGAGCGCCGCTGCCAGTACCTGACCAGAGAGGCCAAACTGATGCTAGCCGTCCAAGATGAGATTACCACCATGACTGAGAGTGAGAGACACACTTCTCTCACCTCACAGTTGACAGAAATTTGATGCTCCGTCTCTGTATCCGTATCATTCATACATTATATAACAGTGTAGCTTGCCTGTATACTAACATTGCGATGATGTATTATAGTTGAGATTTGAACGTATATTTGACAGTGTTCTCTGTATTTTTGTTTTTTTTTCCTGATCTAAGCGGAAGGAAGCCCCCAGTCCCCATTTAGACAAATTCTTCCCAAATGTAAGCTGGCCAGGGATCTGAAGGAGGCTTATGACAGGTTAAGCACATTAATTAAACACATTGCACATAGTTATTTTAGATTAGTTATTTATCTCTTTTTATTACCATGCTGAATGTATATTGTTCTTACAGCTAACTCTTAATATTCATGTTTTTGCAGCCTTTGTACAACTGGTGTGGTGCGACTACATATTAACAACTGGCTCGAGGTGAGCTTCTGTTTACCACACAAAATCCATAGGATTGGTGGCAACTATATCCCCCCAGAGGCATTGGAGCGCAGTCTTAAGGCTATAAGGTGTGTTTTTACTTTTTTTTTTTTTTTAATGTCTTGTACTTAAATATAACATTTTATCTGACCATAAGAGTAACTTGTTCACATAGGCCAGACACTGGCTTCTACACAGTTTTATCAGGGTTGAAACTTTTAAACTTACACTTCTGGCAACACTCCTATCACTATTAACCACATATACTCAACCCCTTCTTAATGCAACACATGTAGGTAGGGTTATCACAAGTGTTTTTACAGATAAAGCTTTTTTATGCAGTATTTACTATGATATTAAGATATTACATCTAAATTGTCACATTTTAATTTACTATTTAAGAAATTTAGAACATTTACTATTAGTTGTTCATATATTTACTTATTTTCTGTCCACAAATGCAACAGCACCTGTTGGGGATAGAAGAAACTTGACCACTGCCTATTTACCCTAGTTTTTGTATTGTTCATTTATACTCCACATAATTCCTCTGCCTCTGGATGGAACCTTAAAGCATCATTTTGTTAATTTGTTCTGATCTGACTTGGTGCAAGTCATGCAAAACTGCAAACTGACTGCAAAGTTGACCTGGTTGAAGAAAAAGAACAATAAGAGGTGATAAACTTGGGACCCTAACACACACACTTATATTTAGTCAACCAACCTGGGTAGACCTTTATGACTGCCAGCACAGGATTTTACAATCCTTTTTAATGTGTGTGTGTGTGTGTGTGTGTGAATGCATGCATTGTTCACCCACAGGTCGACTTCTCAGTATAATCTCCATCAGTTTGTTATGTCAAACAAGTATTATGTCTTTAACAGCTTATTAAGGGCTGTTAATTTTGTGACCTACAATACTGACACACTATTTAAATCTAAAGAAACCATGTAATGTTTTCTGTGGGTCATACTGCCACCTATTGTTACTTCAGCATACTTACATCAGAGTTGTGATCAACTTCTACCTCTCCTTTTATTTCTGTGCTTTTAAGCGGAACAAAACCTGAAATTAGTACATGTGCATTTTGAAGACATGAAATTACAACAGCTGTGCACAAATAATTTATTTTTAATTAATCAGAGTGATCAGTTTGTGTTCTCAGATACACATAGTACATAAATGTACAGACACTTGTGTTGTACAGACTGGTAGTTACACATATTCCAACTGGCTTCTATTGAGGAGGGTTCTCTTGATCTCACATGTTGTTTGATCCTCCAGACCCTATCATGCACTGCTGCTGCTGGAAAGTGAGAAGGCACTGCTGAGCCAGCTTCCTCTGGACTGCTCGCCTGCGATGGTGCGCCTCATCAAAACCTGCTCAGCGGTAAAAAACCTGCAGCAACTTGCACAGGATGCAGACCTTGCCTTACTTCAGGTACATGACAGTCAACACCGCATGCATCCCCACTGTACTTTACTACACTAGATGTCATTCTCTGATCTCAAAAGTCAAGTCAAGATAACTTTATTGTCGTTTAGAATATACACAGAACAGGTGCACAGTAGAAAAACTTTGCATCCAGCTCACGAAGGAATACAAAAATACTGTACTAAGTTAATAAATAGTGCACTATATACAGACATACAAATAAAAATATGTACATACTGATGATTTAAATTGCACATACTAAAATTATTCATACAGAAATGCAATAATTAAGTCCATTCAGTAATCACAAAGAGTTTGGTAATTGTATTTTTAAAACCTTTTTAGTTAAATACAAGGAAATGATTTGTCAT